GGTTAGGTGTCCAACTTCAGCTCAGGTCATGATCCCACAGTCCATGAGTTTGAGCCCTGTGTCGGGTTGTGTGCTGACAGAAGCCTGCTTTGGATTCTGTGTCTCCCTGCTTTGGATTCCGTGTCTCCCTCTTTCTCTGCCCCTTCCCCACTTGTGCTCTGTCTCTCTCTCTCTTTCAAAAATAAATAAACATTAAAAAAATTTTAATGTCTCAGGTGAACCTTTTCTGAATTATCTGTACCATTTATTTTGGCAGTTCAGCATATCCAGGTTACCATTTACTACATGTTCTTAATTGTTTCGCATGACTTCTCTCTCTTGACCTCTGTTTTTGCAGTTTTCACCCTAAAGAGACCTATCTACTGCTAAAAAAGCAGCCCATGTTTGGATACCCTAAGGCAACAGTGTTGGACAGTTGAGGTGCTCCAACAAGGCACATATGTTTTACCCAGAATCCAAGCTAAGTCAACTTTAATCACATTACTGCAGTTTATATTTTAATGCCTGTATGTATATGTGTATATAATGTTTCTGTAACATATGCTTGAGTATATATACAGCTGATCCTTGAACAATATGTGTTTGAACTGCACAAGCCCACTTATGTGGACTTTTTTTTTTTTTAGGAGAGCACAAGTAGGGGAGAGGGGCAGAGAGAGACAGAATCCCCAAGCAGGCTCCACACTCAGCATGGAGCCCAATGTAGGGCTTAATCCCATGACTCGGGGATCATGACCTGAGACAAAATCAAGAGTGGGATATTCAACTGAATGAGCCACCCAGGCGTCCCACACAGATTTTTTTTTTTATAGTACAGTACTATAAATGGATTTTCTCTTCCTTATGATTATTTTTAACATTTTCTTTCTCTAGCTTACTTTTTGTAAGAATTACAGTATATAATATCTAACATATGGGGCACCTGGATGGCTCAGTCAGTTAAGCAACTAATTTCGGCTCAGGTCATGATCTTGTGGTCTGTGGGTTCAAGCCCCACATCAGGCTCTATGCTGGCAGCTCAGGGCCTGGAGCCTGTTTCATATTCTCTCTCTCTCTCTCTCTCTCTCTCTCTCTCTCTCTCTCTGCCCCTCCCCCACTCATGCTCTGTCTCTCTCAAAAATTAACATTTAAAAAAATTTTTTTAAATATCTATAACATACAAAATATGTGACCATTAGTAGTTAAGTTTTGAAGCAATCAAAAGTTCTATGTGGATTTTCAACTGCAGGGGGAGCACATCAGTACCCTGTAACCCCCACGTTATTCAAGGGTCAACTGTAATAATAATAGGAATATATGGATAGTTATATAATCATTTTTACTCACTGATTAGCAAACAACTATACTTAAAATATTTAGTGTTAAGGAGTGAATTGAAGAAATAAATAAACACCCCTATTCATTTGGTAAGGAACGTTGGTTCATTGGTACCATCTTGGAAGAGGGAAGGAGAAATAATTTGGCAATGTTAATCAAAACTTTAAACACTCTGACCCTGCCATTTCACTACTTGGTGATAATTTACTATTCAAAAATTATGCCACAAATGCAAAAAATTTTTTGAACAAAGATGTTCTCAATGTATGCACACACACACACACACACACACACACACACACACACACACCCAAGTACACATTCACACACATATTTTTTCTGTGTTTCTATATTCAACAATAACAAAGGTAGAAACAGTAACAAAAGATGAACTACCAATTGTTTTCACTATCTCTGTACTATGGATTTTGCCTGACAGATGAAGGGAAGGAAACTATCTCTAACACAGAAAGGAAGCATTGTTTGAAATAGTGAAATGCTATTAAAAATACATGTGTCAACGAGGCACTTAAGAAATAATCATTCGGGTGCCTGGGTGGCTCAGTTGGCTAAACGTCTGACTTTTGATTTCAGCTCAGGTCATGATCTCACAGTCATTTTGTCCCACATCAGGCTCTGTGCTGAGTGTGGAGCCTGCTTAAGATTCTCACTGTCTCAGGACCACCATGAGATACTACTTCATGCCCACTATGATGGATATAATCAAAAACCCAGAAAATAACAAGTGTTGGTGAGGATGTAGAGAAATTGGAACCCTTGTACTTTGATGATGGGAATGTAAAATAGTGCAGCCATTTTGGAAGAAATGGCAGTTTCTTAAGAAATTAAACACAATTTTACTACACAACCCAGCAATTTCCAACCTTGGTAAATACCCAAGAGAAATGAAAACATAAGCCTACACAAAGACTTGTATACAAATGATCACAGCAGCATCATTCATAACTAGTCAAAAAGTAGAACCCACCCCCCCAAAAAAAAACAGTAGAACAACCCAGATGTTCCTCAACTGGTGAATGGATAAACAAATTATGGTCTATCCACTAAAAAGAAATACTACTCGGGGCACCTGGGTGGCTCAGTCGGTTGAGCGTCCGACTTCGGCTCAGGGAATGATCTCGTGATCTGTGGGTTCGAGCCCCACATCAGGCTCTGTGCTGACAGCTCAGGGCCTGGAACCTGCTTTGGATTCTGTGTCTCCCTCTCTCTCTCTGCCCCTCCCCCGCTCATGCTCTGTCTCTGTCAAAAATAAGCATTAAAAAAAAATTTTTTTAAAGAAATACTACTCAGTAATAAAAAGGAATGAGTATTGATATCATGCTACAACGTGGACAAATTTTAGAAACATTTGCTAAGTGAAAGAAAACAGTCACAAAAGACCATACTTTCTATGACTCCAGTTATATGAAATGTCCAGAACAGGCAAATGCATAAGGACAGAGGTAGCTGAGTAGTTGCCTGTGGTTGGGGGTAGGACTGAAGAGTGACTGCTAACAGGCACAAGGGACCCTATTGGAGTGACGGAAATGTTCAAAAATTGGATTGTGGTGATGGCTGCACAACTCTGGAAAACTCTGCACAAACTCAAAAAAATCATTGGACTATGTACTCAAAATGAGTGAATTTTATTGTACGTAAATCACACCTCAGTAAAGTTGTTAAAAGTAACTAGAATCTGACCATATTATATTCTCTGCCACTATATCCAGTGTATAGATAATTGTCAAAGTTGTCTTTTACCTTTTCCTTTTTTGTACGTTGTTTTCCATTTTAGTGTTAACAGCATTGTCACCAGAAATAAATAAGGAAAACGAGATGAAAAATTTTTTAAATTTAAAAATATTCTCGGGGCGCCTGGGTGGCGCAGTCGGTTAAGCGTCCGACTTCAGCCAGGTCACGATCTCGCGGTCCGTGGGTTCGAGCCCCGCGTCAGGCTCTGGGCTGATGGCTCAGAGCCTGGAGCCTGTTTCCGATTCTGTGTCTCCCTCTCTCTTTGCCCCTCCCCCGTTCATGCTCTGTCTCTCTCTGTCCCAAAAATAAATAAACGTTGAAAAAAAAAAAAAATTTAAAAATATTCTCACTCAAAAATAAAAATAAACTAAAAAGAAATAATCATGCATCCATACAATATCATATTATAATAAGCCATTATACAGAATGAGTTAAATCTGTAAGTAGTGAAATGGAAAGATGCCAAAAGACAGTATTAGTTAAGGGGGAAAATACTGTACAACATAGGTGTCATAAATCCCCTTTTTGTTTAAAAAGGTAAAAAAAAAAAGTGAGTTTGGCAGTGTGGGGGTGGCTCAGTGGGTTAAGCATCTGACTCTTGATTGGGCTCAGGTCATGATCTCACAGTTCATGGATTCGAACACTACATTGGGTTCTGCACTGACAGCATGAGCCTGCTTAGGATTCTTTGTCTCCCTCTCTCTCTGCCCTTCACCTGCTCACGTTCTCTTTCTCTCTCTCTTTCTCATTCTCTCTCTCAAAAATAAATAAACATTATTAAAAAATGAGTTTGAAGTATACTAAACCATAAACAACAATAATTTCTGGGTATAGATCTACAAAGTCTTGGTAGTTTTTTAAATAATTCTATTAATACTTGGTTTTCCTAGTACTCATTATTGTTTCTAAGTAGATAAAAAGATCTATATTAAAGTCACCAAATTTAAATGACTTGCAACAAATATCAGGACAAATATCACTTTGTAATACTTAAAAAAAAAAAAAAAAAACTCTGCTAGAGATTTTAGTAGCAAAACTATTTTTATTTCCCAAATGAAATCCTACTCAGTTCATATATAATGCTAATAAAAGAAATTAAAGTTGATTGGAGGAGGTGGGCTCTTCCCTCAGCTTCCCACTTTTGACGTATGAAAAAACTTTTCATGTTCGTGGAGCTCAGTCAGAGAAAATGTGAAGAATTCAGCTACAAGTAAGCCAGGCAAGAGGTTCATTACAGTTAAAGGAGCTTGGCCACAGCACACGTGGGTGCCTGCATCTGCTGTACCCTACTTTTACCATTTCTCCATAAATGGCAGAACTATATCCATTACATCAAACACGCCTAAAACAACTTCCCTATCCTCCATTCCTATTGCTTCACAATAACAGCAGTCAAGGGGAACCTGGGTGGCTCAGTCAGTTAAGCAACTGACTTTGGCTCAGGTCATGATCTCACAGTTCGTGAGTTCAAGCCCCGCATCAGTCTCTGTGCTCACAGCTCAGAGCCTGAGCCTGCTTCAGATTCTGTGTCTCCCTCTCTCTCTGTTCCTCCCCTGCTTGTTCTCTGTCTCTGTCTCTCAAAAACAAATAAACATTTAAAAAAATTAAAAAATAACAGAACATCAGCAAGTTCAACTGTTCCCTTTTCACATTAGATCTGCATCCCTGCTTGAAAAGCCTGAAAGGATATAAATGTTCTGTCATAAGCCTGACATAAATGGTGGCTACCTTCATTTTATAGGACTTGAGAAAGTCTAAAGGAATAGGCTAAAGACTTAAAATATAAATCTGAAAAGACTCAGTACTGCTACAGCCCACCACCTACTAGCCCTTTTGTATAGATGGCAGTCCATCCCTCAGATATAGGCCTTGCATTGGCATCTGGGCCTGAGTGGTCCTGTCTTGACATCTTTGGTTGACTACTCTCTTACCTTGGACTTTGCATGCCAAGTGAAGTGCAGGAAATTTGTCTCACTGGGTACTAACAGGTTAAAGGATAAGGCGTAGTGACTAATAAGGTCATTTCTCACATAATAAAGTTCTGCATCAAGACCTAGAAAAAAAAATAGAGAGAAAAGAATTAAACACCTAAAATTACAGTCAAAATCAATAACCATTAGGATTTCAAATACTAATAAGAATGAAAATAATATGGATATACAAGTGTATATCATGAATGTCTCTCACATATGCTGTCTAATGAAGCAGGTAGGACAATGAGTTTCATCATCATCAATAAAGATGAAGAAGATGGGACTAAAAACAATTAGGTAGCTATCCAGCTAAACACAGGTGTGTTAGATCCAGAACTCCGGAAGCCATTCTGTCTCCCGAGGACCAATGTGACACTCCTCCTTTTGGACCCGATCCTTCTCAGAGTAATGCCTACACACAAGAGCCTCTTCTCTCCGCAAAACTGATGTGGATTTAGGAAGAGAGATTCAAAATGGAAAAGAGAAAGGTACATAGGTGAAAACATTAGTTTGAGCCAAAGCCTCAAGACCCCAGCCAGAGATGGCCTCCACTTCCTCATCCGCACAACGTCCTGGCCGCTCTGACAGCATTTACCATCATACACTCACATTAGCTGCCACATCAACACGTCCTCTCCCATACCTAGACTACAAGGTGAACACCGTATTTCTCCTCCTATTCTCAGAACAGTTCTCTGAACAAAGCAGATGCTCAGTAAATAATTGTTAAACAAGTTAGTTCTGCAGATAAAGCAGAAATAACCAAGATGCCTGAGAAATGCTGGAGAAGCAACTCCCAAATCTTACTCACTCTCATATTACCTTTTCCATCAGGGCCACATCTAACCTCCCAACATATACCACATTCTCAAATTAGCATTTTTCTTTGAAATTGATTCAATTTTTTAAAACAAAAATTTTAACGGAAAATTTAATCACTATCTTGAATGGGAAATTAGTAATTATTGTGAAAAAATACAAGGTAACAAAAAGAAATCACTTAAAAGGAAAACAAAACGGTATTACTAAATTCTAGCTAAATACTGGTGCCTAACAAGGCAGTGAGTGAGCTTAAGTCCAGTTCACTATTTACAAAAAACTAAGGAGGGAGGTTATCAGCAAGTGTTTGACAAAAGTAAAGAATCAAACAGATGCTTTCTCTCATGATAACCCAAAAGAACTGAATGAATAAAAGCAGGGTAACTCAATTGATTTATTGTTATTTAAATTGCATCTAGGTGTCCCTCTAGTACTGCATGACATATATATTCCATATGCTAGAGGGAAAGGGTACAGGAGAGACCAATCAAAATGTAAATCTCATTTTTACTAAGTCTGTACTGTGGGCCTAAAACCTTGATGCAGAGGTCAATATGGAGATCTCCACACCTTCTATGATATAGATACAGAAACCAATAACTCTGCTACAGGTATGTCTCCTGTAAAATTAGTTTTCTCATTTCTGAACTGAATCTAAAACAATCATTAATCCAGAAATGAGATTTGAAGCTTACATAGGGGAAAGGAGCACTGTCTGGGTAACACTGCTTTATTCAGTTATTCTGTAGAGATACCAAATGCAATGGGACAAAATTAGAGGTTTTCTGCAAAAGACCCTCACTGCTAGCAGGACAGGAACTGCCAGCAAACACTGGGAGGAGGAACTGGTGGTATTAGAGAAGGGGAAAAAGGAAGGTAAGAAGGTGAGAGAAAGGTAAGGGGAAAATGCAACAAGAAAGCTGGGTACAAAGAAAACATCAGCAATCACAATAATTGTAAACAGCTTAAATGTGCTTGTTGTTGTTGTTGTTGTTGTTTTTAAAAAGGGGGGGTGCCTGGGTGGCTCAGTCAGTTGAGCGTCCGACTTCGGCTCAGGTCATGATCTCACAGTTCGTGAGTTCGAGCCCCGTGTCGGTTTCTGTGCTAACAGCTCAGGGCCTGGAGCCTGCTTCGGATTCTGTGTCTCACTCCCTCTCTGCTCCTCCCCTGTTCACACTCTGTCTCTCTCTCAAAAATAAATAAAGATTAAAAAAAATTTTTTTATTTTTAAGTCTATGTCTTATTCTAGTCTAGACTGATGCTGTTTACAAGAGGCACACCTGGAACGAAACTTTTAAAAATTAGAAAAACAGGGCACCTGGGTGGCTCAGTCGGTTAACTATCCAACTTCAGCTCAGGTCATGATCTCAGGGTCTGTGAGTTTGAGACCCACGTCTGTGCTGACAGCTCAGAGCCTGGATGGAGCCTGCTTTGGAATCTGTGTCTCCCTCTCTCTCTGCCCCTTCCCCGCTCACACTCTGTCTCTCCCTCTCTCTCAAAAATAAATAAACATTAAAAAAAATTTAGGGGTGCCTGGGTGGCTCAGTCAGTTAACTGTCTTTGGCTCAAGTCATGATCTCGCAGTTCATGGGTTCGAGTCCTGCGTTGGGCTCTGTGCTGCCAGCCCAAAGCCTGGAGCCTGCTTTGGATTCTGTATCTCCCTCTCTCTCTCTGCCCCTCCCCCGCTCTGCCCACATGCACTCTCTCTCTCTCTCTCAAAAATATTTTAAAAAATTGAAAGAAAAACAAAGTAGATGAGCAATATTGACATAAGATAAACTAGAACAAGGTAAAAAGATTTTATATTAGTAAGAAAAATTTCATACTAATAAAAGACATAGGAGCTATGATAGTGTAACTAATAAAAGTTTCAAAGAGCTTTCTGTAAAGCAAAAACAGATAGAAAAACATTAATAATAAAAAGACAAATCTACAATCACAGTTGGAGACCAATATTCTTTCAGAAAACAAAAGATCAAAACATAAAAATTTAATGTGGATATTCTGTTAACCAGCTAGACTTCAACAACTAACCTTTTACTGCCCACCTGCATGTACCCACCAACCTTTGTTCCACCCTTTTTAAGCTCTTCTTCCCAGCTTACCTTTCAACTCAGGCAAAGAACCCCATGGGCACAGACAGCATCCCATAATGGAAACCAAAACTACCCCTCAAACAAAAATGACTGCCCACACAAACCTCTGGTGGCTCCAGACCACCCAATTTGAGCTCAAATCCCAACTCACAACTGCAAAGATGCCCCATGGAGTGACAGTTACTTTTACTTGATTATAACACTAAAATCTCTGCCCCAGGAAGAGCATAAGCCTCATTAACATACAATATATGTACAGACATGTTTCCTCAAGGTGCATGCATAACGTTATGCCTACCTCTACATACAATGACAAAGCCCCCTTTCTGAATATTCATCCTAACCCCAAATAATAGCAACCCATTCACCCTTGCATGACCTTATTTGCTGCAAATAATTTCCTTTGTGTGATAACTCCATCTGGAGTAGTCTCTACCTGTAATTCACCAAGGTGCGAACTCCATGTTCATTATTTAAACAATGTATTTATGGGACAAGAAACAAGGGAGTTGTAGATGCTGCTTTTAGGCAACAGGCTTGAGCAATGGAAACTTGAGTAAGGCAAAAGGGCCCATAGGGACCACAGGGCTGAATGCAACCAGACTCATTAAGCAACCCACTTCAAAACAGCCATAGGTTCTAACTGACCAATTACAAATAGGCACAGTTCCTACGATTGCCAAAAAAGATAAAATTCCGTATGTCCCATACTCCCTCACTCTGCCCTATAACTGTGGCCCCTCACCACCGACTGCCTTGTTGCAGACAGTGTCTCTTTTGCTGTCCTGCCCACCATTCCATTACAGTAGATCCAATAAATCATATCTCTTCTGTTCTGCCTTGAATGAATTCTTTCACTGCCTGTGCTGCCAGCCTCCATCCAAGTGGGACCCCCCACAGTTGGTAGCTCCCCCATCCAACTGGAGTACCCCAAAGGGGTATTAATCATGAGTTAGACCATACACATTTTTAAAAATGGATTCTAACTAGAAATAATACAGGCTACCTTCTCGATCAAATGTTGTAATAAAGAAATTAACGGGGGTGCCTGAGTGGCTCAGTCAGTTGAGCATCCAACTTCGGCTCCAGTCACGATCTCACACTGTGTGAGTCCTACGTCAGGCTTTGTGCCGACAGCTCAGAGCCCAAAGACTGCTTCGGATTTGGTGTCTCCCTCTCTCTTTGCCCCTTCCCCCACTCATGCTGTCTCTCTCTCTCAAAAATAAACAAATATTAAAAAAAAAAAAAAAAAAAAAAAAAAAAGAGGGGCGCCTGGGTGGCTCAGTGGGTTAAGCATCTGACTTCGGCTCAGGTCATGATCTCACAGTTCGTGAGTTCGAGCCCCGCGTCGGGCTCTGTGCTGACAGCTCAGAGCCTGGAGCCTGCTTCACATTCTGTGTCTCCCTCTCTCTCTGCCCCTTCCCTGCTCATGCTGTGTCTCTCTCTGTCTCAAAAATAAATAAACATTAAAAAAAAAAAAGAAATTAACTATAAGATAAAGTCAAAAGATGATTATTTGACCAGATTAATGAAAGTTAAACTCTTTGCAAGATTAAGAAAAAAAAGAGAAAACACTAATTATGAATATTAAGAATGAAGAGGGGGGTGACTGAGTGGCTCAGCTGGTTGAGTATCTGACTCTCGGTTTCAGCTCGGGACATGATCTCAAGGTTCTAGAGATCGAGCTCCGTGACAGGCTCTGTGCTGACAGCAGGGAGCCTGCTTGGGATTCTCTCCCCGCCCCCCCTCTCTCTCTGCCGCTCCCCCACTTGTTCAAGCTCCCTTGCAAAATAAATAAACATTAAAAAAAAAAAAGAATGAAGAGGGAATATTGCTACAAATCCTACAGATATTAAAAAGAATGTTAGTATGAACAACTTTATGACAATAAATTCAATAACAGATAAAATAGAAAAACCCTTGAAAAACACAATTTACCAATACAATTTACCAAAACTGACAAGAATAAGTTAAAAATCCAAATAATAAAAATTTCCCCCAAAGCTCTGGGTCCAGATGAATTCTATCAAATACTTAAGGATGATATAATATCAATCTTGCATAAACTTTCAGGAAATAGTTAAAAAAAAAAAAAGGTTCCTAACTCACTGTATAAAGTCAGCATCACACTGATATTAAAACCTGACAAAAATATGAGAGGAAAAATACAGACTGATGTACCTCTTGAATAGAGACATAAAGTTCTCCCTAAAACATTAGCAAATGGAATTCAGCAATATACAAAAAGAATAATTACATCATGATTAAGTGTATATGAGAGGCTAACCTTTAAAAATTACTAATTCATGAGGTGCCTGGGTGGCTCAGTCAGTTAAATGTCTAACTCTTGATTTCAGCTCAGGTCATGATCTCATGGTTTGTGAGACTGAGCCCTGTGTCACCAGCATGGAGCCTGCTTGGGATTCTCTCTCTCCTTTCTCTCTCTGCCCCTCCCCTGCTCATGTGCTCTCTCTCTCTCAAAATTACCAAACATGTTTTAAAAATTACTAACTCACTACATTAATGAAATAGAAGATAATAACACAGATCATCTCAATAGATGCAGAAAAAGCACTTACAAAATTCAAAGCCTATTTTTAATGATAAAAACTGTCTACAAAGTAGGAATAGACATAAACTTTCTCAGTCTGGTAAAGGGCATCTATTAAAAACCCTTGGGCTAACATCATTCTCAATAGTGAATTATTAAATTCTTATTTCTAAGATCAGAAAAAAGGCAAGGACAAGACCACAACACATGGTCTACTTCCACCACTTCTTTTCAACCTTGAACTGGAGGTCCGAACCAATATGTGAAGACTAGAAAAAAATGATGAACTAAAATTCCCAGATGATAGGATTATGTGTGTAAAAAGGACTATGAGATCTACTAAAATACTACTCAAACCAATTCATGAATTTAGCAAAGTCTCAGAACATAAAACTCCAACATAAAATAATCAATTGTAGGGACGCCTGGGAGGTTCAATCAGTTTAACATCCAACTTTGGCTCATGTCAGGATCTCACGGTTTGTGAATTCAAGCCCCATGTCAGACTCTGTGCTGACAACTCAGAGCCTGGAACCTGCTTGGGATGTTGTGTCACCCCTTCCCTCTGGTCCTTCTCTCTCTCTCTCTCTCTCTCTCTCTCTCTCTCTCTCTCTCTCTCTCTCAGGATTCTGTGTCTCCCTTTCTCTCTGCCCCTTCCCCACTCGTGCGCGCACACTCTCTCAAAAATAAACATTAAAGGGGCGCCTGGGTGGCTCAGTCGGTTGAGCATCCGACTTCAGCTCAGGTCATGATCTCACGGTCTGTGAGTTCGAGCCCCGCGTCGGGCTCTGTGCTGACAGCTCAGAGCCTGGAGCCTGTTTCAGATTCTGTGTCTCCCTCTCTCTCTGACCCTCCCCAGTTCATGTTCTGTCTCTCTCTGTCTCAAAAATAAATAAAGGTTAAGAGAAAAAAAAATTTTTTTTAAA